TTTAGAGAAATCTTTGGTGAGCTTAAACACAAAAAGGAAGCTTACAAGAAGTGCAAACTTGGACAGATGACTAGGGAGGAGTATAAAAATATTGCTTGAGCATGCAGGGGTATAATCAGGAAGCCCAAAGCACAATTGGAGTTGCAGCTAGGAAGGGATGTGAAAGGTAACAAGAAGGGTTTCTACAGGTATGGTAGCAACAAGAAGAAGGTCAGGGAAAGTGTGGGACCCTTACTGAATGGGGGAGGCAACCTAGTGACAGATGATGTGGAAAAAGCTGAAGTACTCAATGCTTTTTTTGCCACAGTCTTCACAGACAAGGGCAGCACCCAGACTGCTGCACTGGGCAGCACAGTATGGGGAGGAGGTGAGCAGCCCTCCGTGGTGAAAGAACAGGTTAAGGACTATTAGAAAAGCTGGACATGCACAAGTCCATGGGGCTGGATGCGATTGCAGAGCCATTGGCCATTATCTTTGAAAACTCATGGCGATCGGGGGAGGTCCTGGGTGATTGGAAAAAGGCAAATATAGTGCCCATCTTTAAAAAAGGGAAGAAGGAGAATCCGGGGAACTACAGATCGGTCAGCTTTACCTCAGTCCCTGGAAAAATCATGGAGCAGCTCCTCAAAGAATCCATTTTGAAGCACTTGGAGGAGAGGAAGGTGATCAGGAATAGTTAACATGGATTCATCAAGGGCAATTCATGCCTGACCAACCTGATTGCCTTCTATGATGAGATAACTGGCTCTGTGGATATAGGGAAAGCAGCGGACGTGATATATCTTGACTTTAGCAAAGCTTTTGATACAATCTCCGACAGTATCCTTGCCAGCAAGTTAAAAAAGTATGGATTGGATGAATGGACTGTAAGGCTCAATATCTAGTTGGCAGCCGGTATCAAGCGGAGTGCCCCAGGGGTCGGTTCTGGGACTGGTTTTGTTCAACATCTTCATTCATGATCTGGATGATGGGATGGATTGCATCCTCAGCAAGTTCACGGATGACACTAAGATGTGGGGAGCGGTAGATATGCTGGAGGGTAGGGATAGGATCCAGAGTGACCTAGACAATTTGGAGGATTGGACCAAAAGAAATCTGATGAGGTTCAACAAGGACAAGTGCAGAGTCCTGCACTTAGGACGGAAGAATCCCATGCACTGCTACAGGCTGGGGACTGACTGGCTAAGCAGCAGTTCTGCAGAAAAGGACCTGGGGATTACAGTGGACAAGAAGCTGGAGATGAGTCAACAGTGTGCCCTTCTTGCCAAGAAGGCTAACAGCATATTGGGCTGCATTAGTAGGAGCACTGCCAGCAGATCAAGGGAAGTGATGTTTCCCCTCTATTTGGCACTGGTGAGACCACATCTGGAGTATTGTGTCCAGTTTTGGGCCCCACACTACAGAAAGGATGTGGACAAATTGGAGAGAGTCCAGGGGAGGGCAACGAAAATGATTAGGAAGCTGGGGCACATGACTTATGAGGAGAGGCTGAGGGAACTGGGATTATTTAGTCTGCAGAAGAGAAGAGTGAGGGGGGATTTGATAGCAGCCTTCAACTACCTGAAGGGGGGTTCCAAAGAGGATGGAGCTCAGCTGTTCTCAGTGGTACCAGATGACAGAACAAGGAGTAACGGTCTCAAGTTGCAGTGGGGGAGGTCTAGGTTGGATCTTAGGAAACACTATTTCACTAGGAGGGTGGTGAAGCACTGGAATGGGTTACCTAGGGAGGTGGTGGAATCTCCATTCTTAGAGGTCTTTAAGGCCCAGCTTGACAATGCCATGCTGGAGCCTCCACATTTATTTGACAAATAAAATTTGCAGAATTTTAAAATATTGTGCACAGAATTTTTTTGGCGCAGAAGTTTTAATTTTTTGGTGCAGAATGCCCTCAGGATCTCTCTCATTAGATGTACGGCTCAGCCTAGGTAAACTACAAAGGGTGCGTCCTCTAGTTATTAGGCCAAGTCTACACTATAAAATGTATAGTGTAACTACATCGCTCATAATGGGGGACTTCTGTTGGGAAAATAACACAGCAGGGCACAGATTATCCAACAAGTTCTTGGAATGCAAATTTGGAGACAACTTTTTATTGGAGAAGGAGGAGAAAGTGACAAGGAGAGAGGTTGTTCTAGATTTGATTCTGACAAATAGGGAGTAACTAGGAGAGATTTTGAAAGTGGAAGGCAGCTTGGGGGAAAATGATTATGAAATGATGAAGTTCACTATTCTAAGGAATTGTCAGAGGGAAAAGAGCAGAATAAAGTCAATGGACTTCAAGAAGGGAGAGTTTAGCAAATTCGGAGAATTGGTAGGTAAGATCTCATGGGAAGCAAGTCTAAGGAAAAAAAGAGTTGGCAGTTTTTTAGAGAGACATTATTAAGGGCACAAGAGCAAACTATCCCAATGAATAGAAAAGATAGGAAGTATGGTAAGAGACCACCCTAGTTTAACCATGAGATCTTCAACAACCTGAAAATCTAAAAAGAGGCCCTTAAAAAAATAAGAAGAATGAATATATTAAAGCAAGTATCAGAGGGGTAGCCGTGTTAGTCTGGATCTGTAAAAAGTGACAAAGAGTCCTGTGGCACCTTACAGACTAATAGACGTTGACTCATTAGCAGTTTTGTAAGCAAGACACAAGAAGTAATTCTTCTACTCTATTCAGCTCTGTTAAGACCTCATCTGGAGTACAATTTCCAGTTCTGGTCACCACACTTCAGGAAAGACATGGACTAAACTGGAAAAAATCCAGAAGAGAGCAACAAAGATGATTAAAGGTCTAGCAAATGTGAGCTATGAGAAAAGCTTGAAAAAAAAGTTTGTTTAGTGTAGCGAAGACTGAGGGGGAACATGATAGTCTTAAAGTATGCAAAAGGTTGTTATAAAGAGAAAGATGTGAAACTGTTCTTATTATCCACTGAGGATACGACAAGAAGTAACGGGCTTAAATTGCAGCAAGGGAGGTTTAGGTTAGACATTAAGAAAACCTTCCTAACAATAAGGGTAGTCAAGCACTGAGACAAATTATCTAGGGTATGTGTGGAATCTCTGTCACTGGGGGTTTTTAAGAACAGGTTAGACTAATACTTAGTCCTGCCTCAGTGCAGGGGACTGGATTAGAGGAGCTACTGAGGTCCCTTCCAGTCCTACAATCCTATGATTCTATGCCTAGAACAAAGTGTTGCAACTGCAGTCTGCATCCCAAGTGCAAAAAGCTGTTGCCAGCAGCATGGTGCACGCCTGGTTTTAGACAATGCGATCAGATCACATTCCATTGGACACCAGACTATTTTAGAAAGAAAACATTGGAAAATATATCCTTAAGGCCTGATGACGTTGCTCCCACTGAAATCAGTGACAAGATTCCCTATGACGTCAATACAGTCCTTGTTTGGAATACTTGTTGAATTGCTTGTTTGACCTGTTAGGCAGTTTCCCCCCAATCTCTTCAAACAGTACGTATACACGGTGCAAATAGCCGAAGCTTCTTCATGGTACCTGTACAATGAAAATTAACTCCACTCCCAGTGCAAAACTGCAGTAGCAGACAGTTCCTGCACAGAGATGCAAAGAGTTAAAACCAGCATACCTAGTACAAAGAACTGTAGCAGCAGGATGAGTACAAAGACCCACAACCGTGGAGGGATGTCTGCACACCTCATGCAAAAACCTGCAGCTCAGCTGCTCAGGGCCGACGGGGGGGGAGGGGGAGAACCGGTACAAATTACCGGGGCCTGGCAGTCCGGAAGGGGGCCTGAGGCCCGGCTTCCCTGGCTTCGTTGGCCCTGTTTAGCCGGTCCGCGCTTGCTGGGGGGCCCGAAAATTTTTTTTCACCGGGGCCCGAACCTGCTCTCGGCGGCCCTGCAGCTGCTAAGGGTTGCATGCAAAGACCTGCAATAGGAGAGGTGTGCATGCAAATTTAGGGTTACCATATTTCAGCAAGCAAAAAAGAGGACGGGAGGAGCCCAGCCCTAGAACTCGCCCCCGTCCTGCCCTAGCCCTGCCCCTCCCACTTCCTGCCCCCCTCAGAACCTCCAACCCTCCCCCCGCTCCTTGTCCCCTGACTGCCCACTCCTGGGACCCCTGCCCCTAACTGTTCCCCAGGACTCCACCCCCTACCTAAGCCTCCCTGCCTCTTGTCCTGACTGCCCCCTCCTGAGACCCTT